AAGCAAAAGCCTGTATATGAGGAAAGGCATCCCTTTCATCAGCAGAGACTGAACCCTCCCCGGGTTCAGGAAAGGGGTTTGGAGTGAGTGATTGAGAACTGGGGAGCATGGGGCTGTCTGGAAGTCAACGCAGAGCAGCTGGTGACTTGTGGATATGGCTTGGCTGTGGAGTTTGTAAACTGGGGCAAATGGTTTCTGCAAAGCTGTCACTCCCCTGGGGCTTTCTCTCCTTGTTTGGGTACTCGGGTTGTTGAAAGGAAAAACGTTAGGAATGGTCCCAGCAGAGGCGATGGTTCCTTCCGCTAACGCGGGAGGTGGGCTGCTCCCGGCTGCGCGAACACAGTGAGAGCGTTCGTGCTCGGCGGCGATGGCGCGACCCGGCTCTTCATCCTTCAGTGTCCCGTACAGCAGCGCCCACCCCATCCTGTGGCTAAACAGCATCCCATTTCTAAATAACAAATGTTAATTGTAGTGTTAAAAACCCAGGTCTGCAAAGTATCTGCATCAAGCTCCCAAGTGAGGCTTGACAGGGAAGCTTTGGAGTAACGTCACACCCCCTGCAGGCAGCCTGACGTGTCCCTCCAGCGTGCTGGGGCCTGCGAGGACTGCGCGTTGAGGGCACTAGCTCAGGGCAGGAGCGCTGGCAGGCTGGCTGGCACCTTGAAGATCTGGCCTCTTAAGAAAGTGCTTCTGTCCCACCCTTTGGTGACACCGTGCGTGTCTCCCAGTGCCGTCAGTTCCCTCCTCCCAGTTGCGTGCGAGCCCTGGGCGCTGCCTGTCCTTCCCTCCCTCTGTTCCTGCACAGCGTCAGCCCTGTGATGCAGCACTGAAGCAACCAGTAACTACGAATTTCTTCCCTGAGGAGCCTTCTGGAGAGTAAAGGCCTTCACAGCTGACCCAGGAGGAGTTGTGAGAAGTGACGCTGCATCTTTTTGCAGGATGGGACCACTCAAAGCAGCCAGCGAAGCGCGTGAAAATATGACCAGGAGTAAACTTGCCTAAAAACCATCAAGGTCAGACCTCATAGCGCTGTGTGATAGGCACTAGAGCCATCAGATCCTTCCCGTGCTGCAGAGTGGGGTATGTGGATCCAGCACACACATGCTCCCCGTCTAGGACAACTTGGCAGGACATCCGTACGTGCCGGTTCCACGTAGGTGAGAAGCAGAGTCCACAAGTCGAATAGTTCACTAGTGTTAATGAGCCGCCAGGTTTCTCAATGATCTCCTGCTTAAATACAGATTTATTTTGAGTTTACCAGGCCTTCTTTTGCTCAGCTTCCGAAACCGGAGCCGATCGCATCCCACGACGATGCGGCTGCGAGCTGCGGCAGTCTCCTCCCGGCCAGCTGTGCTGGAGAACAAGCAGCTGGCGGTGCCAAGCAGAGCGGCCTCGGCTGCGGGCTGTATTCGGAGGAGAATATTCCATTGTAACGCTCTGTTGTGTCCTGTGTGTCTCGCTGCAGAGGTAAAATTACATAATAGTAGCAGGCTGCAGTGACTCACCACGCTGCTCGTGTGATTTACAGCGGCTCCCTGAACCGTGTTTTTGCTCAGCATGCCACATAGCCCATAATTGCAAACATGTGAGTAGACAAAAAGTACATTTTTCCAATTCCGTGTTGTTTAGCATCAAGCAATCTCTGATGACTAAAACAGATGAAAACCTCTTTGTATGGGTCTGTTGTCACCTTTGATCTAATTCTTTTTATCTCGCTGTCTCCCTCTCAATGAAGTATTTGCTACAAATTCTTTGTCTTACTGTTGTCTTTTTTTTTCATGCTATCCAAGGATATTTAATTTTTGCCCTATTCCAGTGTCTCTTGCCAAGATTAATACTCCAGCTGCCTGGAAACTCTGAATTCCTTTGTTTTGAATTCATTCTTGACGTCTTTGAACGGCTATACGTCTTCTCTCCTATCTCTGTGTCTGATCTTTCAGAGTAATTTTCTATGTATTTTAGCCAAACTTTTCTCATGGATACTTACCCTTTTCTTACCATCTGTTTTCTACTTCTCGATCAGCTCCCTGTCTGTATTCATCCTGCACCCCCTTTCCTCTTCCAAATCCTCTTTTGTTTTTTCCTTTTTCTGTACATAACCCCATTTCTTGCGTAGATTCCTCATTTATTAATTGCAAATCAAGAAGTCATCAGCCTAAGCCATTCCTGATGGGTACTTGTTCAGTGTTTTCTCAATTTTTTTTTTTTTTTCCACTTGGGAATTTTCACAGCTTCCCATCCCTTCGAGTTCCGTGCTACCATGTTACCCTGATAGGAGAAGCTTTTCATCAGGAAAGGGAATGTAGGTTAAGGCAATTTAAGCCCATTGCTGATTGTCCTGTCATAAAGCTGGAGAACAGATTATCCCTTCTCCCCCCTTTCCTGGTATCTTTTATGTGCCTGAAGGTTCTTATCTCTTCTACTGTCAGTCTTTTTCTAGCCCAAATCACCATGTTTCCTTCAATTTTCCCCCATTAGTCACGGTTCCTAGAACTGCCGTTGCTGTTGCTCCACGCTGGGATCTGCTATCGATGGGCAATTCCAGCTGCTGCCTGCAAGTTTTTGCTGCTATGGGGATGCTTCTTGGTCGTGATTTTCACATGTGACCGTATCTAGCTGTTCTGAAATGCTACCTCTGGCATATCAAAGGTGCTTTGATTTGAAGATGGCAGTTTAAGAAGAGGGCATGGCTGTTTGGCGTTCGATACTCTGAACTCACGGACAGCTAGTAGGGCTAGAGACAGACAGTACCTTCTTTGGTGTGAGAGGCTCTTGCCTCCCAACTTGCTTAGATTTGACTTTCTTGAAAAACTTCTGTATTTTTAAAATGCTCCAGTTAGTTGTCTGTGAGCATTCGACAGTTTCCCTTAGGAGGTAGGTCAGAGAATTGGGAGGAATGAATCCAACTCAAAAAATCCTTTGTTCATAGTAATCGTTTATGGGCAGGGTGCGTGAATTCAAGCAAAGTTGTAGCTGAAAGGTAACCCATAAAGCAAGCACAGTGTGAGATCTGTGCTAAATGTGTGGAAACTGTGTTGCCTTTTCTTTTTTTCGTTATTAAAAAAATACCACTTGTGTTTAAAAAAAGACTCTTGACATTTGAAACTCTTCTGCTAATGTTTTCCTGCCCCGGTGAAGTGTTCCTCCATACAATTCAACTTCAAGGAGCCCTTGAGGATTTACTGAGCTCGGTCAGGGGTGTATTCATGCAGATGTGTTCCCTTCTACCTTTGTATTTCGTAGTTGTTTTCTTAAGTCTGGTTGAAGCATAAAGGTTGTGATCATTTGGAAATCGTTACCCCAAATTGTCACTTCTTTTGCTCTGTCTGTGAACATCTGCTGCGTCCCGGTGTGAGTAGGGAGAGCCGGGGCTTCCGAAGGGATTGGGAAAGCCGGGGGGCCGTACAGCAGCACTGGCTGCTGAGGGTCCTGCGGGTGCCTGTGGCACCGCTGCTCAGGGAAGTTACTTCAAAGCATCGCAAATAAACCCATCTGGTTTTAAAGAGGTTATTAAAAGTATAAGCTGTGCCGTTTCTCGTTAAATAAACACGTGAAGAATCCAAAGAGAATTTACAGCAGTACTTGAGACCTCTTGGACTTGTCAAAATCACATAAATTCAGTATGTGTTTTCTGTGTTGCCCATCCCTGACGGTGCTAGTAGGAGATAACTTCTGTGCACTGGTGACTTCTGCGTTCTGATAACTGCTGCAATGTTAAACAAAAATAAACATCCAAAGCAATTCTTTTCCTTGTGAGAGCATGGTAGCTACCACGTTGTCTGCAGCAGCATTTTATCTAAAAACTAAAACCTTAATCTAAATTCTAGTCTTTCGTGTCCTGCGATCTGTTACAGGAGTTTTGTTCATGTGGCAGGAAGAATAAAGGTAGTGGATTACAGACACATGCATGATCACAAAGCACCTAGGGTGGCCTAATAGGCAGAGGGAGGCAGTCAGGCTGTGCTGCTGCTGTTTGACATATCACTGCCGTTCGGGCTGGTCTGCACCTCCGTAGGAGCCCCAGCACTGTGAGCCTGCCCTGAGCTTAGGGGAGGCAGAGCTGCCGTGTTTGAGCTCTGGATTCTGGGGAGAACATCCTCTCTTTGGAAATTCTGTCAAGGGGATTTAATACAAGTATACCAGGGGTTTTCCTAGCGCTCAGATACTTTAGTTTGCTTCATTGCATCCATAATTTTTTTTTATTTATTTATTTTCATTGGTGACCAAAGTGGCAGCAACATGCCAGGCTATTGCTCTGGTCATAATATATTTTTCAGTCGAATTTATTTATTTATTTTTTTTTGCAAAGGATATTTAGGATGTGCAAATGTGCTCGTGTAGCTGTCCTCATCCAAAAATGCGCTCATGACAAGGCAGTCCGTGTTGCGGCCTCTCTGCTTCTCTTCTGAGTCAGCGGTGGCTGAGTGGGCGTGCAGGCCATATGCTCCATCAGAGCCGTTTTGAAATTAAGTACTTTCAATAAAGAGCCTGCAATATGTGATCTCCTCGGCTTTCAGGCAGGGGACTCTGGAATTCGCTCGCAGCAATCTTTCCTTCCTGTTGCTGGGACCCTGGTGCTGTGAGCACAGTGTCCCAGTAAAGCTGGGGCTGTCCGATGGCTATACTGGGACTGCTCCAGAGTTTCCTCGTGTGCTCCCGTCCCTCCGTGCGGTCCCTTCGCTGCTTTCTCAGCGCAGTCTCGGTGCGTGCCGAGCTGTCTTAACTGACGGATCATGTTCAGGCCACCAGGCCGGCCCTTCAGGGGTGATCTTCCAGAAATATTTGTGCCTCGTGCAAGGGATGTACTAAAGAATGCAGACGGAAAGGATGGGGTACGTAGATAACCGTGGCTGAACAGGCTGGCGTGCTAGAACACCCTCGTGAAGGGCTTAGCAATTATCCCGGCCCATGGCTTGTTCTAATGAGTTATGTGCATGCTTTCAGATCTCTTTAATGTTCACTTCGGTGTGATGTAACGGTGGCTGCTTCCTGTTTTTCAGGAGACGACTTTTCATTGATACAGCAAGAAATATATATGGTTAAAGAATGCAAACACTGCAACATAGTCGCCTATTTTGGGAGCTATCTCAGGTAAACCCCACTTTTTATACCTGCACTTCTGCTGGTTCTTTCCTGAGGCAATGCTCAGTCTGGTTTAGTACTCATATCCTCTCTCAGTGTTCTTCTCTAGGCTGAATTCCCGTTGGTTCCCACTTGGCTTTAAAAAAAGAAAAAAAAAAAAAAGTGACTAATACTTTGTTTTCTCTGCTGGCCAAAAGGCTGGAATATTTTTGTCACTAGAAACAGAAAGAAACTTTTCCCCTACAGGCTCTTGCAACATATCCAACCCTGCTCACTCGTGGGGCAGATTTTAAACGTTTATCACTTCTAATATAAAAGAAGCTCATTATTTATTATTATTTAGAATTGCTTTTAGATACTTTATTTAATGGTAGTCTGGTGCGCTGTGGAAGTACAGCCAGTGAGTTGTAAGAGCAAAACACTAAACCTGAGCTGCTGGTAATAATATTTTTCATAATTCTGGTGTAACAGATGCGACGTACCGAGAGGCAGAAAGAAGGTGGTGCCAGCTGGCTGCATCTTCAAGTGCACACGTTAAATGTTATACAGAAAGCTGGGGAATATTTTCCATTTCTGTGGAACTCTGCCATTTATCAATTGTCTCTGTGAGAATATATATCACCACTTTGTCTGTTTGGTCTTTTTCTACGAGGCTTCATCTTTACATTTCTTGGAGGGCTGTATTTTTTCCGTAATCTCTACAGCCCAAATGGACCTTCAACTGGGACGAAATGGCTAAATTTCTAAATCCCCAGTACCCTTTTTAGAGGCCATGAAGAGTTGTTTAGCTATAAATGAGGTAATTTCAGTTTAACACACTAAACTCATGGTTTCAATCTTCCCTAATATAATCTTGCTGATAGCAGGTAAACCTCAGGTGTTTCTTCTGCGTGTTCTTTATTGCAGTTAGGAGGGCAGAGTTAAAGCCACACCTTTTAGGTCTGCTAACGTTTAAAGACCTGTCGATGACTTTGGCATAAAATTTTCATTTTTGATAGGTGAGAATTTACATTGAGATTATTAATAACATGTTGTAAAACGTGTAATTGCTAGTCATATGTCAGAATGTGTATTTTTAACAGAAGAGTGCTCAAGTTCAATGGAAAATACTGTAAACAATCGTTATGAACTCAGTTCTGTGTACAGATCAGTCAGCTTCTGATGCCTGTGTTTTAACTTTCTTTTGATAGCCGTGAGAAGCTGTGGATATGCATGGAATACTGCGGCGGGGGCTCCCTCCAAGATATTTACCATGGTACTTTGAGACTTATTTTACCATTTGTACCTTTTCTGCAAGGAAGAAAAATAAATAAGCGACAACCTAATGGGGAACAGTTGATACTGGCCAGGCACTGCATGCGTGTTTTTTAGGGCATGAACAGTGATTTTTAGCTACAGTCAACAGATTTTTGTGGAGAGCACTTTTCGGATAGGGTGACCATCATTTTGGGCTCATATGCTGCCGTTCTAGGGCGGATCATGCTTTATTTTTTAATCCTCACACTGTCTTATTTTTCTCCACGATGCTTAGGGGACTGACCCAAAGAGCTTGAGTTCTTCCAGTGAGAGCTCTTCAGTAGCTGCAGTCGCTGCGCACTGGGAGCTCGCCTGCAGCTTGGCTTCTCTCAGCCTGTGTCTCTGCAAGCCACACGCAGAAGCAGGTTATCTGCTGTCTGAAGGAGTGGGGAAAAAGACCTCTAATGGGATATGGAGCCTGGTTGTGGTGTGAGGAAGCAGTTTTCACTGGAAAAATCTCAAAATTTGATCTTTAAAGGGTAAAAATTACCCACTCCTGTGCAATACCGTGCCACCCTTTGATTATTATTTTCCCCTCTGTGGTTTCATCTAGTGTTGTTGATTCTGTGGAAGAATTTATTGGAGTTGCTGGAAAAGCAGTCTGGGGACTTGGTCTGCCTTTAAATGATAACGTGGAGTTTTTGAATACCAGAGCTCTTTCTGCTTAATTTTTCAGCCAGTTAGTACAAACAGCTTTGAAACAACCCTAAGTCCCATAGGCCCCTAGTATAGAACATTACCATTTCTAATATTAAAAAAACGAGCAGAAGCTGCTTTTATTGTTGCTTACCTTCCTCAGAATACAGGGTATTACGTTACTACGAAGTCACTTGTAAAATGATAATTAGATTTCTGTCAAAACAGGTTTTTGTCTCACTGTGGGTATTGTGTTCTGTTGTTGTGCTGCCTTTTTTGTTTGGTTGTTTTTTTTACAGAAAGCCTTTCTGTAAAAGCAGCAAACAAACCCCTCTTTTCAGCTCAATGTAAAATACAGTTCATGTGTTTTAACTTTTGCAAGGAGACACCACTTTTTGGCTGCTTCACAGTGTTACTTGTGTTGTGCATTGTAGACTTACACACCTTTTAATCTTTGTTTTCAGTAACAGGACCTCTGTCAGAGTTACAAATCGCATATGTGTGCAGAGAAACTTTACAGGTACTGTACTTCTGCGGGTACACGATGAGGTGTTTGCTCCATGTATAGCAAGTAGATACAGCAGATGATTTCAGAAAGCACTGCAGTACCATCACTTGTACGTGTCAGCACTGGGAATCGGGCTGAAACCGATTAACCAGGGTCAATCTGTTAGTTTCCATGCTGTAAATAAAAAATCAGCAAGGAACTCCAGTAATGCAGTGTAAATATTTGCTTAAAATCACTGTCGGAGCAGTGCTGCTTCTGTGCTGTCACTGGCAAAGGAGTTCACCCAAGGGTAGATGGCTCAGTGGATCCCACTGCAGGACCAAAACGCTGAACCTCAGTCCTGCTCTCGTGAATTCAGCGAGCCTCTTGGTTTCTGGGAGACTGTGGAAGACAGATCTGCGCAGGCTGTGACCGCGGTGGTGTCTGGGCTGTTTTCACCCGTTGTTCCAACGCAGTGATTCAGTGCAGCGCTTGTTTAGGACAGATTTTTGAATCTCGTTGCAGAAAACAGCCGATAAGCAAGGGTAAGTAAGGGAGAAAACCAAAAAGGCACATTTTCAACCGCCTGCTTGATCTGTGACCATAAATTCTAATAATTTGTAGAGACAAAATACTACAACCAGATTATTCAAATCCTGTTTCATTTTGTGATTGTTAATAACCATAGAAATGCAAGATAAGATGATGCAGGCAGCGTGTTTTTTTAAGTAACTTTTCTTTCACCACTCTTTGTACCCATGAATAATTACGTGAGAGAATCAGGGGGATGCACACCTTTCCCTGGAGCAGTGGCTGAACTGGTCACTGCCAGAGGCAGGGGTGTAGACCCATGAACTAATCTGCTTGGCAGTTCTGTTCCTGATCTCTTCTTACTGCAGGAACTGGAAGGGCAGCTTGAAGGCTAAACATCTGCTCGTTGAAGCCTTCAGGACTTCAAAAATATAGTTAATTTTAGTAAAGGGAAAAGGTTTGTTTTGAAAGTACATGTCTGCCTATGTAAAGTGCTACACCATGACTGGTTTAAACGCGTCTTCACATGTATTGGCTGGAGCTGGGAGAGATGAGGAACAGAATCCAGTGTACCTCTTATCTGCACATCTCAAATTTCTCCACTTTTAAATAAAATACGTTGAGTAATTTGAATTTATTCAGTGGCGCTGGCCGTGTAATATGTGAACAAATGGCGAAATGACACGTTGTGTCTCTTCCATTTCCAGGGTCTTGCTTATTTGCATATGAAGGGCAAAATGCATAGAGATATAAAGGTAACTTGGAACTTTCAGAAACTTACCTTAAACTTCCTAGTGCAGAAAAAACCATTCCCGCTTAAGATTTTTAACTTTCTGTTTATTATGTTTTAGGGTGCAAACATCCTACTAACAGACCATGGAGATGTCAAATTAGGTAGGTTGCTTGCATTTAATAGTAGGACAGAAAGCAAATGGGAACGTTGTAATTTGATCAATCAGAAGCTACAGTGCCAGGTGGGATACCTTGATCTAGCAAGTTGCTTTTTACTTTTATTGTTCCGTTAAGACAAAAAAATAACCGGAATGTAGAGACCATGCCCTCCAAGGTGAATATTGAGCTTTTGTAAGGCTTTGTTTTGTCTCGAACAGCGCATGCGCGGCAGCTTCAGCTTGCTGCAAATGATAAAGTATAATACAGCAGATCTCCTGTATCGTTGCAGTCGATTTGATTAGATCCTGTTCTGTGGCAGGAACCTTTCGGTGTTGCACTGTAGGATGTTCTTATTTGAGGCCACAGTTGACGATGGAAAGTGTGTCCCGCGGGCTTGTGTACGTATGAGATGAGAAGTTTTGAGAAGTGACGGGTCATTTCTTTTTTCAGCCTCCAAGCCTTGAAGCCTCCCAGGTTTCCTTGCTATTTGCCAGGTTGGGGCTACCTGGATATCAATGTTTATTCCTAGCCAGAATGGCGGTTCTCCCTCAGGGCCTCCAAGGATCCTCTGTGTGAGACAGTGTCTCCTGAGCCGGGCAGGCTGTGGAAAAGTGGGGCCTGATCCTGGCCGTGCCTCTAGCCCAGTGTATGACGTTGAGCACCTCCACGCAGGTGGAGAAGAGGAAACTCTCCTCCTTTGCAAGCGCTGTGAGGCCTAAAGATGAAAACTCAGGAGAGGGCTGTGCGAGTGGCCTCCTCCAGTGATGCTTTGCGTTTAGCCCAGCCCAAACAAGCTGAATCTTTTGTTATCTGAGTGCGCGGCCTTCAACCCCCCCTATCTGCTTGTCTGGCGCCTCCCTTCCCAGAAGCCTGCGTGTCGTTAGGGCTCTGCAGGAAGCAAGGGAGCAGACATCCTGGGAGAGGGAATGGGATCTCATCATCTTACTGTGCCCGGTGGAATCGGGGCGGTTGTGCATGGGCTGCGTCGCTGCTCTTCAGAAAAGCTGGTGGTTCGACAGGTTTACCCCGCTGTGGTGAACCAGGAGTGCTGTGCTAGGCAAGTACAGCTTTTTAAAGAAGGAAAAGAAAGCCAACAAACAAGCAAAAAAACCCAAGAGAAAAACCTTGAAACTGGTAGGAGATTCCATTAACTGCCTTATCCTTGGGTCACGCACTGATGCTTTTCCTTTTGCCTGCTAAGCTAGTTAGATTTGCCCACAGTTATCCTCCAGCTATCGTATTGCAAATGCAATAAAAATAAAAAGGACTTAAATGATTTTTGGCTCTGCAAGACCACCTGATTATCTGCAGCTCTGAGAGCAAGGGATTATTGTCCCCTAGACAGTCTCCAGAAATGAGAACAGATGGCCCCCCGCAGCTCCGCCGTAAGTAACGCAGAACTAGCACCATTTCCAAAGCATGATGCTGTTTTTCCCCTTGAATATTAAATTGAATATCCACTAAATTCTGTGAGGTTGCTTGGTTGCTGTATTGTGAGATGGAAAAATAGCTTGGAGAGGCACAGGATCCTGAGTGAGCTGTATGTAGAAACTAAACTTTTGAATTTGAAGTCGTGTCGGTGAAGACATTAGCTGATGTCGTTGTTAATCTTCAACTGTTGAACCTTACGGAATTTTTCATTTGGATGAGAAACGTGATTGTTCTTTTGTAATATGGTATTTTCCAGAGTAGAATTGGGGTCTTAAAATGGGATTTCTAAGTCTATGATCGTTTTATTTTCCAGCTGACTTCGGTGTAGCAGCAAAAATAACGGCCACCATTGCAAAGAGGAAATCGTTTATTGGTACCCCTTACTGGTAATACACTGCTTTGATTGCTATGATTGTGTGCAGAGCTACGTTTGTGCCGAGAATTCTAAAATACACACACTGAAGTATACACACATATTTTTAAATATACATAGCAATTGCATAAACTCCCTTTCTTCCAAGTAAAAGCCCGGGAAGCACTGATTGCAGCTGATCTGTTGCTGTAACACAGGCTACCTGGTATTTGAGGCGTGACTGCTGTTTCTCACAGGTTTATTAATGCATTAGTTCTCCACTTTTTCTAATGGTCAGTTGATTTCTCAGTAATTTCTTACTCTTTTAGTGAATAAACTAAACCATGTGTTTTCAATTTCCGTACATAAAATTGTGAGGAAAAACATTTAAAACTATCTTTTGATCATCTCTACTGATTAGCGTCTGCACCAGACAACACTGAATATGCAAATATATCGTTGTAAATCTTGAGCTGGATTATATATGCAAATTTAACTGCTGTTGGTTTTCTGGCATTACTGTGATGCAGTTGAGACGCCTCGGGCGGTATTCTTGGTATCGGCTGAATGCGTAGGTACAGCTTAATCCAGACAATGGCTTTTAATTGTTAGCTGACCTCTTTATCCTGTTGGAGAAGGAGGACTGAGGGCAGGAAGATAATCTGGTCGTTCAAGCATTTCACCAGGCATCATGAGACTGGTTCTATTCCTAGCGCTGCCCTGCAGCCCGTGGTCTCGGGCAAAACAGTCACCGCTGGGTGCTTCTCCGCTCCCCGAATGCCGGGCGAGGGGAGGGAGGCGTCGGGCTTTTCCCTGACTTGTGCTCTGGGGGGGTGGTTCTGCCCTGGGGGTGACGTGATGTGCTTTGTGCCTGGTTCGGCAGCGGCCGGCGCTCTCGTTGAACGATGCCTTTGCTTTTACAGGATGGCCCCCGAAGTGGCGGCGGTGGAAAAGAACGGCGGCTACAACCAGCTCTGCGATATCTGGGCGGTCGGCATTACGGCGATCGAACTGGCAGAGCTTCAGCCGCCCATGTTTGATCTTCACCCCATGAGGTCCGCTGCCTGGGGAGCTTGTGCCTCTCCAGGATCCCCTGCAGGCCCAGTAGATGCAGTTTAACCTTCTCCATGGCTCACATCTAGAAACTCCCCCTGGGATTCCTTCATCAAGTGTCTTTCTGTGTGAGCTGTGGCTGTCTTTAAGACACCAGTCTGAAGCTACAGACTTCAGTGCAGAATGGAAATTGTCATTGAAATTTTTAATTTTTTTTTTAAAAAACCACTTTGTAGTGTCACAGCAATGGGATTAAGAAGAGGTGTAGTAAATCACTAGAGAAGCTGGAGCCTTACGTTTAACAGGATTACACATGGCAATAAAAAGATTTTATTTGAAGATAAGAAAATGAACAGCTTTACTGTGCCTGTCCTCTGACACAGTGCAGACTATAATCCAGTCTCACCAGTATGATTCTTACCATAAAGGGTTGAAGTGTTTAGATATTGGGATGAAATTCATTATTTTTTTTACCATATAATAACATTAATCTTCCTTTACCTTTAGGGCTTTGTTTTTAATGTCAAAAAGTAATTTTCAACCGCCAAAGCTAAAGGAAAAAGCAAAATGGTAGGTTAAACTCCTTCCTTTGTTCTGTATTTTGTAGGTAATGTTGAAAAAACTATTTGCCATTATTGAAGAAGGGAGGCAGTGAAAAATAGCGTGTGCTAGTTTTGAACTCGGGAACCTGAGAGGTGATTTCACTTAGGGGAAGTTTAGCTGAGAAACAACTAGTCGTTTTTTATAGGTGTCTGAAAGCGAATGAGGGGGTTAAGGTCCAGCAGCAGATGTTTTCTGACATGACAGAAAACCAGCGGTGTGGGACAGGACAGCCCTACCGATGTAAATTGATCCCTGCCAGTGATCCAGAGGGAAATGAAATCTCCCTTCTTCGGTCCTCTTTGTTTGTTCGAGGAAGAAAAACTATTTTTATCCTTTCCCCTTAATTCCAATTTCAGGGCATTTGCCACTGTCAGTGGGACAGGTAATCATTTAATCCTTTCGTGATTTCTTTAACCTGCGATACCTTCCTAGTGCCTGCAGGATTTTGTACCACACTTACTAACACTTTATTTGTGAGACTCAAAACCGTTGTGGTATGCAGGGGTTTTTTGCTAATGATGCTGCTGTGCAGTGCTTTTACCTTGAGGTGGTGGGGTGAGCAGATGCGTGCTAGAGGAAGGGAGAAAACACTCTTAAGTGCATGTTTCCTCTATTGAAACTGCTCGGTGTAACCCCAGCCAACGCACTTTAGTTCTCCAGTGCCGTCTTCTCAGATGCTAAGGCTAGAAGAGGAGTTGTGGTTTGTAACATGATGTGAAAGGAAGCAGACTTGGGCCGATGTTGTCCCCAGAGGGGCATAGTAACACAAGGGCAATTGCGAGAAAAATGCTTGGGAAGGTTCTAGGTCCAGTCATAATGTCAAAATTCGAATCTAAAAAAAGGTGATATGTCACAGTCACCTAAATTGTTCTGAAAATAGCAACAAAGCATTTTAGAGTGTGAGTCTGTCTAGAACTTTATGTTTTATTTTCCTACCTGTAGCCTAGAGCAGTGAAATTGGTAGGTTTGCCTAGATTTTGAGGGTTTGCTGGGTATGTAAAAACACGATTTTTATTTCTGATACCTAATTCCATAACAGTTGAAACTGGAAAAAGTTGAAATAGCACCATACACGTTTGGTTTATTTTCTGTACCAAAATGTTTTCCATGCAAGTTCCATGAATCTTCTGGGGGTCTTTCTGATTTTGTTAACTTGGAAATGTAGTTATTCAAACCTGAGATGAGGTACCTGGACAACACTCTAATTTAGCACACCCTTTTGTAATCTGTTTAGTGAGTGTTAAAATCAAAAATACCTTCTTGAAAAATTAAACAGAAAACCTCGTTTTTCTTTAAGGTCATCAACGTTCCATAATTTTGTCAAAATAGCGCTTACAAAAAACCCAAAGAAGAGGCCGACAGCAGACCGACTCCTTTCTGTAAGTGACTTGGAACGTGTAGTGACAACAATAAGAGAAGTCCTGCTTCAAAGTGAGCAACAGATCAATAGGAAACCAAACTGGAACAATTTTCTTTCTCTGATCTCACAACACGGGTGGTGAAATCTGAAGGAAAGAGCCGTTGCTCAGCGGTAGGAAGAGCAAGCTTTTGTTCAGTATCAAGATTTTGATACAATTTTTGGGAGGAACATTTACAGAAATTTGCTTCATGCTCTGCAAGTGGGTGCCTCAGCCTCTTAGATAATACAGCTGTGGAGATGTTGACCCTTCCTGTCACCCAGATAGAAAACAGGTGTATTTAGCAGTTGTTCATGTATCTGTTTCTGCCGTCCTGCACTTGACTGAACTAGTTGTGTAAAAAGTCAAGGTGTGGTGGTTTGTTCGACTCAAGAGTTTCATTTCCAGTTTACAAGTGGCCAAAGGTGTGGAGTTTCCATGGTTGTGGAGGGGCTAGAAAGCCTCGCCGTTAAGGAGTCATTAGAGAAATACTCCACCCCCCAGAAAGCTGGCAAAATCGAGTCATGTTCTATGTTGGATGTTTATTAATGAGAGTTACGTATCGGTTGTGGATTATAACTTGTTCTTTCCTGTGGTTCTAGCATAGCTTTGTTGGGCAGCCTGGTCTTTCAAGGTCTTTAGCGGTTGAGCTGTTGGACAAAGTCAATAATCCTGACAACCACACACACTACAGCGAAGTCGACGATGATGATTTTGAGGTGAGAACTTCTTTTATTTTATTTTCTGTCTTTAGGTAAAACTATGGTTTCAATACCCTGTTTTGGTGTGGGAATGTGAGATTGCAGCTTGCAGGAGCACTGCCCTGACATTTTGAGAGCTCCATTTTTTTAGAGCTACCGCGCAGGAGAAGCCAGGAGATAACTGCCACAGCGCTGGTCACACTGACGCTGTGGGTGTGTAGAAGGATGCTGTGCAAGGCTAGGGCAAAGGCGGTGCGTGTTACCGCGTGGGACTGCAACAGCTGTTCTTTCCTCTTCGTGGTTTGATTGTTGATTGAGATCCAAGAGAAAGCCACAAAAAAACAGCTTTTCCATTTATAACCCTTGCAGCCTCACTCCGTTATCCGCCATACGATTCGTTCTACAAACAGGAACATCAGGGCAGAAAGAACAGCATCGGAGATAAACTGTAAGTTCCTGGTGGGCTTTGCCCCTTTCGTGGGGTCGGTTTGCTTCTGCTGGTGGAGGATGTCGGTGGTGTTCTTTCGCTGTGCGCTCTGGGAAGCCTCTTCCACTCTTGGCTCGTTTGAGAAACAAAACCAGAAGAAATGGCACGTACACGTGAATTTTCAATAATATTTTTCCAAACCTGAAACTAAAAGTTCCGTAATTTTCTGCTGTTTCGTTCCATCTCGTTGCTGCACCGGAATGTTTAGGTGGAAACCTTGCATGGCCAGCATAGCCTTTCAGCTCTGTGATCTCTGTCAGACCATGTGGCCCTCCTTAAAGCAGCAAAACCACTAATAACACGCAAACATCAAAAAGTGAGAGTGAGTTGATAATCAGGAGGGCATCTTGCCACACGAGTACGTTGGGTATCACGATGTGGTGAGAAAACACAGAAAAAAGGCAGCATTTATGTTTGTCTGCCCGTTGTCTCAAGTTTGTGAGTGAAACCTTGACCCTGCAGGAGCGCTTGTGATTGCAGTAGCTGTCCTGACCAGGGTGCACGTTAACACCATGCGTTTTCTTTTGATATAACCTTTTCATAACGATATGAATACGCTACTCAGTTGGATCTAAGTTGAAATTTTGAGGGTAGAAATGATCTTTCTCCAGGTTTGGACAAATGCCCTTGTGCTGTAAATGCTATCCACTCCTCTGCATCACGTACATCACACTTGTAGGAGGCTTGCTGTTAAAAAAAACCTCTTTCTCCTCTTTCACGTGCGTTAAAAGTAACACATGGTTGCGTAGTTATGTTTTAGTGTCCTTTCATGTAACGATTTGGTGTTTACTTTTGATCTGTTCCTTTCTTGTGGGTTTCGTATTTGCACACTTGGGCATTTAGACAAAAACATTGATATTTAAGTGATGGTCGTGTTTTATAAGTGTGGCGTACATAATATTTAGATGTGTCACAACATGCATTTCACCGTAGCAAGCACTGAAAGGGCGCTAGGATAATGTCGTGTGTATTAAATTTGAAAATGTGGTGTTTTGTAGTTGATAAGCTGCAGTTTGAGCCCCCGCTACGGAAAGAAACAGAAGCTCGGGATGAAATGGTAAGGACAAGTTTGGTTTTCCTTAATTTGTTAAAATCACAGCGTCTTCATTGTTCAGCGGTTCAAGTCTTAAGTAATATGTCTCGGAAGGATAAGGTGACGAGGAGACTGCTCTTGTCCCCCAGACACTCGCCTCATTTTTAAGAAAACGAATCGCCCGCCGTGCTCTGTGCGGGGAGTCGTGCTGGGGTGAAAGAACCGGCGTGCGCGGATGGATTTGCTGATGTGAAGAGGCCGGTCTGCACTCGGGTCCCTGATCTTCCCGCCATCAGGGTTTGTTTGCCCCTGGTTCCGTGGAAAGCCGCCCGCTCGCCCGCAGCCGGTTTTGCCCCCTGTGAGCTGCGGCTGTTTGTTCCAGCCCTCAGCAGTTTGCTGCCCATCAGCTAATTAACGTTCTCCGGGCTCGGTGTGGGCCTCTGTACACAAGGGCTCCGTTTTTTTTACTAAGTGTTGTAAATAGCAGCATAATTTGCTGATCATTGGTATTTGGAGACGTTGGTGCTCAGCACCCCCGAAAAATCCCCTTCGGGTTTTTTACAGCTGTTATGGCAGTTCACCAGGTGGGTGCACGAGTTCTGTGACTGATCCGATCTGCACGTGTTGTCACCAGCAGGATCCCCCCAGTGCCATGGCTAGTGATGGGAACACTCCCAGCCTGCGCTGGTGGCATCTCGTGGGAGTTTGGAGGTGGCTGTAGTACATTCCCGTGCTGGAAGAGTGTCTTGGAAGTGCCCTGATTGGAAAATCCTTATTGAGTTTTAGCCATAAATATTTGCTTTCATGTTACTTATTGCCACTTGATACTGGCGTTATACCGTTGCCAGGTGCTGCTTTCAAGTCTGAGTCCAAGAAGAAGATAGCTTTTCAAATAGTTGCTTTATAATTAGATTGTAAAACATTATTTCACTTTGGAATGTTATTTTACTGCTTATGGGTCGTTCTGCAGGGCTTGGGCATCTCCCAGGCCTCTTCATGTGCTGTGGGTGAGGTACTTCAGTGTGACGGGGGGGAAAAAAATGAAAATTTCTGCATCTTCAGGTTGTGGCAGCTGGCACTGACTTCGCTTCGCATTGGAATCCTTTTGTTGATGGTGGAAGCAGCAAGTAAGTACAGAGTTTAAAAATACCTTTTATTTCTGTGGTGTAATATAAAAATACACTCTGAAAGAAAAATTGGTGGGAAATCAAACCATAAGCCCTAATTCCACTTCATTATTCATAAAGTTAGAGGAGATTTTACCCAGTATGCAGTCCTCCTCCTGCAGTTGGTTGGTCATTTTCTTGGGGAATGGGTTTTAATCTCTTTTAACCACAAACAGTAGTCTGTTTTCAAGCTGTTGTAACTCCCCAGTTGTAGGTGGAAAGCGAAGTGTCAATGTGTGGCCAGCACGCCGAAATAACACAGCCACAGTCAGTTTTCTGAAGCAAAGCTCGTAACCTTGCAAGGGCTGAGTTCAGGATCCTGCACCAGCCTTGCACGTCTCTCCCGAGCCGCGGCTGTGGTTGTGACATCCTGTGGTAAAGCATGTTTGCAGCCCTGAAGTCGGGCCCTTGCAAGAAAGGGAACCAGAAGCCGGTTCTGAAGATTTCGTTTTACCGAGTTCCGTACGATGGCACGGCTGCTACTTCAGTGAGGGTCTGATCCGTGTAATCTGTAACGCAGTCCTGTAGGGTTCTGGGGTGAAATGGTTTAGGTAAAGATATGCTGTAACTGGTTTCCCCTGGGATAAAGCCGGTTTGAGGTAAAGGAGCACAACTCTGTCCGAGTTAGGACTGAATTTATTAAGTACGTGACTTCCTTTTGCTGCAAAATCCTGGATTCTGCGTTTAAAGGTAATCTGAATTTGCGGTTGTCACCAGTTGAGGCTGGGCTGGCCTAAAGAAGGGTGTGGAGGTCCGGTAGTACGGACTGATGCACATGTGTAGGCAACAATGGTGGTGTAGTGAGGTGGGGTCGGTCTCTTCTCCCAAGTAACAAGCGATAGGACAAGAGGAAACGGCCTCAAGTTGCACCGGGGAAGGTTTAGATTGGGCATCAGGAAAAATTCCTTCACTGAAAGAGTGGTCAGGCATTGGAACAGGCTGCCCAGGGAGGTGGTGGAGTCACTGTCCCTGGAGGGGTGTAAAGGACATGTAGCTGTGGTGCTCAGGGACACGGTTTAGCGGGCCTGGTGGTGTTGGGTTGACGGTTGGACTTGATGGTCTTAGAGGTCTCTTCCAACCTGATGATTCTATGATTGCAGTTGGAATAATTGCTCAGCTAAAAGAGCCTGTTTCCCATCTTGATTTGGAACTGAGTAGCAGACAGTGAATTTGTTTGGCTTTTTTGCAGATAAAGTCTTGCATAAGCTGTCAGCTGACATGACAGCCCCCTGGAAAGCTGGCCGTGTCACGGAGATTGCCAGTGTTCGGGTCTTTTTAAGTTCAACCTGGTTTTCTGTTCTCACTCTCATTGTAGTAAAACTTTGGGGTGGCTTTCGAGGCCCTGCCTCTCCCTGTCCAGTGATGACAGCGACTGCTTTCCTTCCTCTCTCGATTTGTTTGTGTGACCCTGATGCGCTACAGATTGAAAGCCTTTCTCGTGAGTGCTGGCTTTTCTGCAGGCAGCTGGAATCTGCGGGGTCGAGGAGCAGGGAGGGAGGGAAGCTCCTCCTGGCAAAGTGACTTACTGATTTGACTCCGTTTCTGTAGCATTCCTAAGGTTGTCTACACCAGGCCGCATTAAAAGCGGAGTGAATGTGGCTGTAGCAAACGTTGCTAGGGCTATAAACTGGTAAATAGATAGAGATTTAGTATGAAAAGGAGGACAGGCATAGAGTTTCTGGGTGGTGAATCCATGCTGCTTACTTGGAAACCACTTCCAGTTTGAAAAGATAAACAGGAAACACATAGCTCCTCTGTCCCAGCAATTCTGAGCCGTACCAGTGAAGCCCAGGGAGGGGGTGTGCTGGGGGGTCCTGGCTTGGCGTGCCCCTTGGCTTTTGTCAGAGTGAACGGTGATGGAGGTCTTCGCCTCGGGCATTACTTGTCTGGAAAGGGGAATAACAGAATGTGTACCTGATGATTGAGCTTATTTCTTGGGTTTTGTCATCGTTCTGTATTATGGAGGTGGTTTTTATTGATGGTTGGACTTTTTCTCTGTTTGTTTTTTAATAGTTTGGTAACGGCTGCTTTCCTTTCAGAAGCACCTTGCGGGGAAATGTTACATTCATCCAAATTTGGCTGGGTTAGTTTTTGTGTAATAGGCTTTTGTTTCCCTGTTCGCTTCCCCTGCGGTCATTCCTCAGCGGGTGATGCGGTGTGCTGTGGAACGGGCAAGGATGGGTGAGACGGTGGGGTACGGGGGTGTCTGCCTCTGCCGGCGGAGCCTGAAGAAGCCTGTCCCTGGTTGAGCACTGCGTCAGCCACATCGGAGCCGCCTCTTCCACCTCACAATTCCTCAATGCAGAAGCCTGGGCTCCGCAACAGCACACTAAGGAACGCTTTTTATTTGGTTTAGATTTATGGTTTAGATTTTTGTAGATTTAATGCAGTTTGATTTTCAACACAGGTTGTAGTTTAATGCAGTTTGATTTTCAACACAGCTTGAAAATTGCCATTTTGCAAAGTTTTATCAGTTTTTGTTTGGTTCAAAATTGTATTTTCAGTGCTGGCTTGATCCTCTAGTGACAGTTTCTTTTTTGACCCTGGGGTAGCTTTGAAACAAAAATTTGTGCTGTAGTGGGAAACCGTGTCATTAGCGTATAACACTGAAGGAGGAAACTTCCCTTTGTAAAGGCTTTGCTCCATTTGTCTCCCCGTAGCTTCCTCTGTTTTCATCTTTTCCTTTTTTTTCCCCCCCTTCTTTTTTATTGTACTGTTGTCAGGCATTTCAACAATATTTGAAACACCAGGAAGGGAAATGAAAGATGAGCTGATGGTATCTGGTGTAGAAGAGAGCCCTGATGATTGTTGGGGGGTGAGGGGAAGGAAAGGACCGTACTGGAGGAAAAAGGGCCTGATGCAGTGAATAAGAGAAATGCTTCGGTTTGAAAAGGGCTGGGAGATGCTTGGTATGAAACTAAATGACGTCACCGATCGGTTTAGTCGCCCATGTCGACCTTAGAGCCGCGCTCTTAATTGTTATAAACGTTTTACCTAGGGGACTGCTCACAAAATTTGGCGATGGGAGTGAAGATGTGGAAGAGTGAGTGGACCTCCTTCGCGTGCAGTCGCGTTCGCTCTGTGCGGCTCCCGCTCAAGCAGGCAGCGTTCGGGCCAAACCGCTTTCCTTAAAGTGCTGCCGGCAGCTTTGCCACTCGTAAAGAGGCGAGGGCTGGTTGCACTCGGAGGTCTAACACCCGCTTGACTGTTACCTGATCGTCAGGAGAATGCCCGCAAAGCAATGCTTTCTCCCCCTGCTCTCCTTCCTGAGGTTATCTAGAGTGCATATGTTAGTGCCTAATACACTAAAGCAGATTTAGTGTTGATTAATCCGTCAATCAGGAGCCAGGCCCGGCAGTGACAGGACGTGCAGATACCCCTGCAGGGCTCTGGTGGGGTATGTGCAGCTCCCCTGGTGCCCAGACGTTTGTCTGACCCAGAGCGAAAGCTGCAAACAGCCCCGAACTAGTCCCTGAAAGTACATTTGTTTGCTCATTTCCAATACCCTTCACCACAGAACGCTCTCTAATATTGGCATTTAGGAAAGAATGCGAGTCGATCGAAAAAACAACACTTCTAACAAAATTAATGTGCTTTTTTCCCCACTCTTGGACTTTTAGTTTAACCCTGTTTGTGCAAAGCTGCGATCCGTCTTTTCTGTGCATCTAGCTCGTCTTCCTTACAGTCTGTGTCCTCGAGTATTGTTCTCTTCCCGTTGTTGGTTTAACTAAGATGACTACTGCTCCTTTTCGTTGTAGATCAACACTGAAGCGAGCAGGGCCACCTCCGCTACCTCCTAAGGTAAGAGATGGTGGGGGCTTAAGAGTTCTGGGTGCTAAACCCGACTTGTGCAGCCTCTGCAGCGCTTCCATCCGAGCCTCTCGGTAGGTTATAAAGTCTGTTAAATACCAGTTGCCAGCAGACTTCGTGCAGCTTCAAGGTTTGTGCTGACTTGCAGTCTGTACAGTCTTGACCTCTGGGAACTCCTGGCCTTGTCTGCTGCCAAAGTAACTTGTAGGTATTTTCCCTCTAAAGAGTGCGTGGGATGCCCTCTTGTTCAGCATTCTGCCTGCTGCTGGGATTTTTCCATCAGAGAAATACCTCTTAAATTATTCTGCTGTCAAATGTCATTTTTCAAAGGCTGATTACTTTTTTTTTTAATGTATAAGCAGTCTGGCTTGAATTAAACTTGTCTGAAGTTTGTGCTCCCGGGTGCCATTTCCCAGGTCATCTTCGCCTCTTTGGTTTTGTTGCAGCCGAGAATCAACAGTTACCCTGAGGAGAACCTCCCAGATGATGAGAAATGTCAGACAATAAAACATTTCCCAGACTCGCAGAACAGAGCCCCACCAGCTCACAGGAGACAGAGTATCCCTGTTTGCGGGCCACAGGCCGATTCGTCCCCCGTTGGGATGACCAGCAGCATCAGCAGCCCGGGATTGCTGACGGCTCGATACAGCGACTTGGGTAAACGCCTTACGTTTCCTAAAGATGACTTGAGTCCCGTGAAAAGGAAATCAGTTCCAGAGGCAGCTGTTTTCAGTAGAGAAGTTTTTAGTACAAGGTGCAGCTTTCCTTTTTGCCCGTGTGCCGGTTCTTGTTGGAGCCGTGACCCGTGGTGGGAAATGCTCTTCCCCAAACGAGGACGCTCAGCCAGTCCGTACCGCGGCTGTGCTGCCTGCAGGAATGGCCTAAAACCAACGAGCGTGCAGGGAGGATCATCTGCCGGCACCTTGCCGCAGCTTTTATCCTCAGTTGTGTTTGGCCCAGGGACTGTTTGGGTGATGGAGAGCCTTTGTTACGAAGGGGTCAGCCGTCCTTGGAAGGCTTCAGCTACCTGAAATGTGTACGTGGAAGTTTCAGAGCTCGCTTCTCCAACCCCTGCTAGGTGCAGGGGAGAAGAGAGAAGAGGGCAGCAAAACATTTTGTGTTTCACTGCCTCAAGTGAGTCACAAAATGGGCTTCTTTGCAGGAAATGGGGATGGCATGCTGAAACTCATTGAGGAAAATGCAGAAGGGTCAGGACAAATCCCTCAACTGCCACGTAAAAAAGAGAAAAGAGATTTTCCCGTAAGTGTTGTGCCTCTCAGTCTGATTTCACCGACGTGTTAGCTAGCTGGTTTTATATCGGTGTGTGGGAGGTAATTTATGATCTTTCTTTTTTCCCCACAGAAGCCAGCAATCAACGGTTTACCACCAACACCGAAGGTGCTGGTAAGCAGTCTCGTTTGCAGGAGGAGTTGTTGGAAGCCCGTTGTCATGGCATCTCTCCAGTGTCGGAAGGTTTATGCTAGAATAAGCCACCAGCTTGTCTGGGGTGATTTTCTGCATCTCATGGCCAGTTTACTTTTGTGTACTGAATCCACAATATGTGTTTGCTTTTCTTAAAAAAAACCCTTCCTTTCACCCTTCAGTCTGGATGGGAAGGGTTGGAGACTTCAGTAGCTCCAAGTCATCATCTCCAGGGGCAGTTCCTGCTTAGTGAATAAAAGGGGGAGAGGTGGTAGTGATGCGAGAGGGTGTTAGTACTAAAACATTTCTGCTTGTTTTCCCTTTGTATGCCATTTATCTAAGCACTCGATACTGTTCTCACCCAGTAGGTAGCTCAAATTCTTCACAGCTTTCTGATCCCTCTTTGTGTACGAAGTACACAAGGGTTTGGAAGGCTGCAGTGGAGCTTTTGGGGAAGATAAAAATGTTTTGCATCAAGGCATATTAGAGCAGGTTTGTGTGTGAACAAAGAGAGCAGCGCTGTGTACTGAGTGGCCGAGTGCCAGAAGATAAACACTTTTTGCCGTAAACTTCGTTTCAGGTTTTGGTTTTGGTGTTTTTCAGATGGGAGCGTGTTTTTCCAAAGTCTTTGATGGTTGTCCTTTGAAGATTAATTGTGCAACATCATGGATACATCCAGATACTAAAGGTAAAGTTATTTGAGGTTTGTATTTTAAACCTGCCTGTTGCCAAAGTGGTGATGAGCCCGTGAAATAATCACTCTCTCTTCAACTTTTAGATCAGTACATTATCTTTGGCACGGAAGAAGGTATCTATACTTTGAATTTGAATGAACTTCACGAAGCGACGATGGAACAGGTGATTGTGGTGTCCTGAACACACAGAACAGATTTGGGGGTATTATGAAGCAAGAAAGTTTGATATCAGAGGGGACAGAGGGGGTACCGGGCTTTGTGGCATAAACTGATTTGCAACAAAGCCAGCAATGGACGCCTGAAAATTAACAGTTCCCCTGCCTACCTGAGGTTTTTGTTGCTGTTTAGGTAGCGCTTCCAAAGGAGTCCTCTGCTAAAACGTCTTCCTTCTCCTTGGAGACAAGCCCTTACCGGCCCTTTCTCTCTCTATTTTATCTCCACTAGATGGCACGTTGCTTCTCCGCTGGGTGCTACCAAAGCCCTCAGCCGTTTAGTTGAGCTGGCGTTGTTACCACCAATAAATACGCGGTTGTTTCGGTTGTCTTGGGCTCCCTAACCCTTTCCAAAGCCGCTTCAGGCAATCGTGGTGTTGTTACATTGGCTTTTTTAGAGTCAGAAGTAGCAGAGTATTCTTGGAAGGGAAGCGTTGGCAGATGCTGCTGCTGGGATTCATACCTGTAGGTTCCTGAAGTGGTTCACAGAGGCACTTCAGGCCTCTCGAGAGCGTTAAATTCGGTCGCGACACGGCGCAGGTTGGAAAGCAGGGGTGGCGGCGTGGGCGTATCTGCGAGGGACAGCGAGCGCGAGGTGATTTCGCAGCAAGGGCACGGCACGGAGATCTCTGTTCCTGGGAGCATCGTGCTGGAGGGCAGGGCTCGAGAGAGGCAAAAGGAAAAGGAGAAGCGGCTCAGCAGGGTCGTGGAGGGGGGTGGTTTGGCACAGACAGAGGTGGGAGGAGATGGTGAAGGGCTTGAGGGTGAGAATTGGGAATTTGCATTCGATGCAATTAGAAGATCCTTTCAAGTTGAGAGAGGTGCTGAAGGGTGCACTGAATGCAGTAGGATAGCGTTGGCTACGAAGCTGTTAATCTTTTTGTAGCCTCAGTAGACATGGGGAACAGCCGCTTACTTTTGTGATAAATGGCTAAAAATTGCGGTGGCAACTGTTGGACACCCCTTGGCCTTTTTACCTCTGTTTTCTCTTTACTCCGTTCGTCAGAGCAATCTCTTTCCTTGTACGTTTTCCTAAATTATTGCAACTTTCTTCTCTGGACTCTTCCACGTGCTTTTTTGTGTCCTGTTGAAAGGTTGGGTCTGCCAGAGGTAGGTAGAGAGAACATTCAGTGCACCCCAAAATGAAAGTTTCCTTTCCTGTGAGAGCACCCTCAGTTGGCAGAGGTCAGCTGTGTGATCCGCTTCAAACCCCAGAGGCTTTCCCGCCATGCTTCTGCAGTGCCGCTTTTTCTCTGATTCGCTTTTATTCATGTCATGATTTCGCCCCACTACATGCACGTTTTTAACTGTTTCTCCCACTTCTAATTCTGATCTCACCTTCCAAAGCGCTTGCTGTCTCTCAAAGGTCAGTATCTCCCAAGTTCAGCGGTGTGCTTTTATTCCATTGGTAGTTTTTCAGTGGAAGTACTCAGTACAACCAGAGCCAGAGAAAGCAGGATATAGCTCCAGGCTGCTTTTTTCCTTCTATTAAATAGCAAATTGCTGAAGAGACTCTGTTTTTATGTCCAACCAGTTGTATGTTTTCTTTCTGCAATTTCTTTTACCCCGTATTTTCTCATTTTGCACGTGGAAATGGCACGCAGGACAAGGTCCTTCACGTACGTTTCACGTCTTGCCGTTTCCCTGCCCCCAGCAGGGCAGTTACTCTGTTAAAGAAGGAAATTCAGATTCAGCCTGTTCTGCACAAGTCTGCACTAGCTGCTCTTGTGATCCCTTGGTAATTAAAAAGTATGTGCCTTGTTCCTGTGCTGCTCTGGATATCCAGTCAGTCAGACTGTTTTGCAATTCCCACCGCCCTTTTCCTTTGGCATAAGTACTGTGTTTGTCCTTCTTGAGGTCCTTGTTCATCCTCCATCAGTTCTTGAAGATAATCGTTGCTGAGACCTTGGGGCTTGAGCCAGGTCTTAAGTACTGTAAAGTAAACTTTATTGGGACCTGCTGACATGAGTCTGTCTAGTGGAAATAGCGTGTAGTGGGTTCCTCTTCTGCTCCTAGCACAAGTTTGTACCGCAGTGCTCTTAACTCTGCTGATCGTGTAGCCTTTCTTTCCTGTCAAGCAGCGGGCCCAGCCTTTTGCCTTCCCAGTTACTACACTTACCAGCTTCTCTTACGTTGCTAATTTGATTTGCATCTTAACCTTTCTTATGTTTCTTCCTTCAGGCTTATCTTGTTCTTAGCATTGCGTCCTTGTTTCCATTAGCTGTATTACGGATTTGTGAGACTTAAGGCACGAGGGGGAAATCAGAAATTTTTACCCATCTTGGGGCGGCTCGGGGATAGTTCATAGGGAACAACTATTCCCCTTCTCCTTTGGTGGAGCCTTTAAATGAAGCTAGTGGGAGCCAAATTAAAACTAAACAGTGGGTAACTGGCTTGGGACTTTTTGCTACGGAGAGCTGCCAATGCTAGGAGTTGTCTGAGTTCAGAGGGGAGACTGGGCAAGTTCATAGAGGACAAACCCATTGCAGCTCACTAAATGCATAAAACCCGTGTCCGGTTCATTCTGAGACGAAGAACTTGGTGCCTGGCAGAGTATTAGGTGCAGTGTTATGTACGTTTTTTTGCCGCGTTCTCACCGTTTTTAGAAGCAATTACATCGCTTTATGGCGACTGTTGGAAACAGATAGTAGGTTAGATGGACAATTGGACGAACCACTACAATCATTCTTTTGCTGAGCCTTGATACAAGCAGCTTCTGCTGTGGTTTGCAACAGCTTCCCTCAGTGAACCAGGCTGCTGTTGTCTTTTGTTAATAGTCTCCTTTAGAAACCGCTTAATCCTTTGATCTCCTTTTTTTTATCTTATTGGGAACTTTTCCTTGATGAAGGGCTGTACCTATGAATACTGTTCAATAAATTTATTCGTCTTGTTGTGGTTTGGTTTTAACAGAAATCCTTGTCCTTACCCCTTCCGTTGTTGAGACCCCTGAATGCTGCCATTTGCCATCACTTTTCTCAAAATTCCCTTCAAGTTGTCAGGAGCTTCTTTTTAACTTTAAAATCCTCTCAAATTTAGACTAGCTGCCTCGTGAGTAACTTCTTCCCTCTGAAACAAAAATTAGTCCCAATGCCTTCCGTGAGCTGTCCATTTACAAAGCAGCACGCTAACACAAATAGCCAGGCAGGTGAGTCCCACAAAATACGGGATTTTGTGGTAATTCAAGTTGCTCAGAAAATACTAATGCCTTTTTTCCCTCTCTTCTGACTTCTGTGGGGTTTAGTAGGTTTCTGTTAATAATGTTATCTTTCTTCCTCTGGCTGTCGTTCCTGAGCAAGCTGTATCTTTCTATATATGGTATCCCAGTCTTGCCAGATGTCCCACTTTGGCTCCGTGCTGCTGATTAAAAAATAAAGCAAAATTGAATTTTGGAAGTTTCAGGGGTAGAAGAGGGAAGGGAAGGAAACTATTTCAAAGAGAGAGGAGCTAAGCAAGGATCCAAAAGAGTGAGTTAAAGGGGAAGCTGTAGTTGCAGCTGGGACTCTGCAGGGATGGTGGTGGAGGTGGAGCAGGCAGAGAAAACCACAGCTGGAAATTCCTGGATGTTGCTATTAATGGAAATATTTTCTTTCTTCAGTTATTTCCCCGAAAGTGCACCTGGTTGTATGTTATCAATAACACCTTAATGTCCTTGTCAGGTATGTATAAACAGAGGGAAAATGAATAAAATGATAAATAAAGAGAAACATTTAAAGGCGTAATTCAGTACGATGTGTTTTGGTTGTGCTAAAGTAGAAAACTGCGCATCCTTTCTTGTGTTTGTGTCGGAAGCTTTGCTTCAAGGGTGTGGTAACGTGAAAGGCTTTCAGAGGTAAAACTGGACGTTCACAAGGAGTAGAGCCAGTTGGCTGCAGTGTCCCGCCGTATTTTTTTGAAATTTATTTATTTTCAGTCAGTTTGGCAAAGCTGGGCGCTTGGTGTTTGTCAAGCAGGAGTTGCCTCTGCCAAGGCTGCAGTTGGACTGAAAGTGCCTGGAGAAGCTAAAGAGCGTCCTCTCCTCTGAGCTAGGAGGGTCGGAGTAAGGATGGCTTTTATGTGCCAGAGCAAAATCAGGAGAGGATTGATGTAGGTGCGTTATCAAAAAGTAGCTGCAGGGTTTGGTCCCTCTCAGTGTGTTGTAGCCGGGCAGCGTCCTCGGTATGAACCAGGTTCAGAAAATCAATCCACCCTGAAACACGGCGGTGAAATACTGCTAGTCCAGCAGATTGGTTCTTGGGGGGGAGTGGAAAATAAAATCAGTGTCCTATTTGCTTGATTCTTGAGAAAAACTAAAATCAGAGAGTCCTATTTCAGTTGTGCTGAGTCGGACACTCTGGATGGGAAACGGGGGCACTGTGGCACGCAGACTGATCGTAGGACTGTGCCTTTAAACAGGCAGGGTTTGTGTAACCCCACTTCTGTTGGCTTACAGATAAGAAAATGTCCTGGTGTAATTAATTGTTGTATAATTAGAGCCTTCTGAGAATGTTTACATCACTAACTTTCAGAGCTGTTACTGAAATGAACTTTTGAGTTGAATGCCATGTCTTCTCTAAATTCCATTCTTTTTGTTGTCTTGTTTTATTTTTCTTCGTATCTGGACTGGAAATCCCTGACGCACGTGGCCCCTTTTTCTAGAAGGTAATTTTCTGGACATGCAATTTTCTGAAATGTGCAGGGCTCTGCTGGAGGTGTGGCTGCGATGTCAATTGTGCTTTTCTCTCTTACAGGGAAAACGTTCCAGCTCTACTCCCATAATTTAATAGCTTTGTTTGAACAAGCCAAAAAAACAGGATTAGCTGCTCATATTCAAACCCATCGCTTTCCTGACAAAATATTACCGAGGTACAAATCTTTCACTTAGAGACCGTTATTAACAAGTGAGAATTCCCATAAATACTGTTTGTGGCACGAGGGGCCTTCGACATCTCTGGTTGATGCAATTTTTTTCATGATTGCTATTCCAGGAAGTTTGCCTTAACGACAAAGATCCCTGATACAAAAGGATGCCACAAATGCTGCATAGGTGAGCAGGCCGTCGGGTTTGTGATTTATTTAGGTTTTGCCCTGGCCTTTGTCGTTGGGCAAGGCGTGTCTTAGACTCCTTTCTTTTTAATAAACTTCTCGTTAGTTCATTGTTCAGCAATCAGGATGACTGCGTTATTTCTTAGTGCTGTGCCTAGCTGGTGCATGGCTTTCCTTGTGGTTAACGTGGGGTCTTTACGCTGCTCGGTGGAGAAGCATTTTCCTGTCAGCTGTTGACCTAGAGATGTGGCTGAGCAAGGTCCAAAGGGGCGCCCTGGCGAGCGGCAGCAGCGTGCAGCTGACGGGTGTCACACGCTCTGGGACAGCTGCTGAAGCTGTCGGTGACCGAGTCGATGTTTGGGGTCACTGGCTTCAGGCTGCCACCAGAGCCAGCTGGTCAGTGACATACAGCCTCCCTGCTGGTCACGGAACCCCAGACTCGTTGCACATGCACAAATACCCCTCCTGCTTTGTCAGCTCGGCTCGAGGGGTGACCTGGATCCAACTTCTAGCAAGGCTAACTTGAATATTTCCCACAAAGAAATGGCTGGACGTGAATAAAAATGATGTCAGCCTGGGGAGGAGCGGAGCCGTTGCTCAAGTTCGAAGCTCACACAAAAGCCTTAAAGCTGGTGAAGTTACAGATTTGTCTTTGGCTTCGCCGACTTCCAGAGAGGCTTGGCCTTTCTGCAGAATGCGTGTCCTTTCGAAAGCCGGCCCTAGTGCCGCGTGAAAGTGTACCTTTGTGCTCTCCAGAGTGTTTCAGCAGAGTATAAAGTACCCAGCTGCGAACGTGGATGTGCTGCTTCACTCGTGTAAAACGTCTGCAGAAGGCGCGTTTACAAATGATTCCTGAAGTGAGGCCGGTCTCGTCTCCAACCGAATAAAACCAACCCCTTTATCATACTATTGCATTAGCTGTCACAGCCCACGAGAAGTTACGGGCCATCTTCACTGCTTGGGAATTTCTTTATTTAAATCACAACTTGATCTGGGCCTTTCCCTCCCCCGGCTCACACAGCCCCACGAAGAAGGTGTTAACAGCTTTTCTGGCCGCTCAGCATGTGGCCTCTTTACAGGGACTCAAAGAATGCTAGTGGTTATTAATTATAAGTATAATTGAATTTTTCTGGAATGTAGCACAATATTAATCACTGTGGATATTTGAATGGCAAGCCAGAAGGCAATTAGTCTGAAACTGGTGCTGTTTCTTAAATTATTTGCAAAGATAGCTGTAGGGGTTTTCTCGGGTATGTGTTTCACTTCCAAGACTTTAAAAGGGTTGTTTTCTGGGTTTTTTTTGTTTATTTTATATAGTACGAAATCCATACACGGGACATAAGTACCTGTGTGGTGCATTGCAGTCTGGAATTGTTCTGCTACAGTGGTATGAGCCAATGCAGAAATTCATGTTAATAAAGGTAAGCGTTTCGTTGTCGTTCAGAACATTCAACCTTAATCGTTATACGCTTGTTGAAATAACCTTTCCAGACTTTGTAATGGAAAGTACGTCCCAGTCTGGTCCCCTTTGTGGGTTCTGAGCACTGGAAGGTCTGGCTTGACACATTTTGACTAAGAAAAACCTCGTGGCTGAAGTCAGTCAGGAGTTGGATCAAGCCCAGCGCTAGCAATTACAGGCTAGCGTGTACCTCTGCGCGACGTAACGCTGCTCGCAGCTCGTGCTGTCTTAAGAAAGGCCTCTGAGTGAAAAATCCTTCCATATCTGTTGTGCTTTGTGCGTGTTCTTTTAGGCTTCTGATTTCCGAGGTAAGAGGAAACTTTACAAATGCCTTATTATGTTTTTTTTTTTTTCCCAGCACTTTGATTTTCCTTTGCCAAGCCCTCTGAATGTGTTTGAAATGCTAGTGATACCAGAGCAGGAGTACCCGATGGTCTGCGTGGCGATCAGTAAGGGTACCGAACCAAATCAGGTAGTTCAGTTTGAGACAATCAACTTGAACTCTGCTTCTTCGTGGTTTACAGAAATTGGTGCAGGTAAGACTGTTGGTCCGTCTCGCAGCTGTTGCGTTGTCTGGTGGCTGTTGGAGATCCCTTTAGGCCAGGCAAAACGCTGCAGCTTCTCTGCCTGAAGTGTATCGAAGCTGATCCCAGGTTCTCCTTGTGGTGACCTGCCAACTTCAGCATCAACTACCTTTCTTAAAAGGCTTCGGTTTTGGACGCATCTTTTATTTGCTAGATTCCCTTAAGTAGTAATGCAGACCCTGCTGGTTGGGTTCTCGTTTGTGGTTACATACTTTTTTCCTGGGATCAGTCTTACTCC